GTAACACGTTGGGACAAGGCATGAACAACGTAGTAACACGTTGGGACAAGGCATGAACAACGTAGTAACACGTTGGGACAAGGCATGAACAACGCAGTAACACGTTGGGACAAGGCATGAACAACGTAGTAACACGTTGGGACAAGGCATGAACAACGTAGTAACACGTTGGGACAAGGCATGAACAACGTAGTAACACGTTGGGACAAGGCATGAACAACGTAGTAACACGTTGGGACAAGGCATGAACAACGTAGTAACACGTTGGGACAAGGCATGAACAACGTAGTAACACGTTGGGACAAGGCATGAACAACGTAGTAACACGTTGGGACAAGGCATGAACAACGTAGTAACACGTTGGGACAAGGCATGAACAACGTAGTAACACGTTGGGACAAGGCATGAACAACGTAGTAACACGTTGGGACAAGGCATGAACAACGTAGTAACACGTTGGGACAAGGCATGAACAACGTAGTAACACGTTGGGACAAGGCATGAACAACGTAGTAACACGTTGGGACAAGGCATGAACAACGTAGTAACACGTTGGGACAAGGCATGAACAACGTAGTAACACGTTGGGACAAGGCATGAACAACGTAGTAACACGTTGGGACAAGGCATGAACAACGTAGTAACACGTTGGGACAAGGCATGAACAACGTAGTAACACGTTGGGACAAGGCATGAACAACGTAGTAACACGTTGGGACAAGGCATGAACAACGTAGTAACACGTTGGGACAAGGCATGAACAACGTAGTAACACGTTGGGACAAGGCATGAACAACGTAGTAACACGTTGGGACAAGGCATGAACAACGTAGTAACACGTTGGGACAAGGCATGAACAACGTAGTAACACGTTGGGACAAGGCATGAACAACGCAGTAACACGTTGGGACAAGGCATGAACAACGTAGTAACACGTTGGGACAAGGCATGAACAACGCAGTAACACGTTGGGACAAGGCATGAACAACGCAGTAACACGTTGGGACAAGGCATGAACAACGTAGTAACACGTTGGGACAAGGCATGAACAACGCAGTAACACGTTGGGACAAGGCATGAACAACGTAGTAACACGTTGGGACAAGGCATGAACAACGCAGTAACACGTTGGGACAAGGCATGAACAACGTAGTAACACGTTGGGACAAGGCATGAACAACGTAGTAACACGTTGGGACAAGGCATGAACAACGCAGTAACACGTTGGGACAAGGCATGAACAACGCAGTAACACGTTGGGACAAGGCATGAACAACGTAGTAACACGTTGGGACAAGGCATGAACAACGCAGTAACACGTTGGGACAAGGCATGAACAACGTAGTAACACGTTGGGACAAGGCATGAACAACGTAGTAACACGTTGGGACAAGGCATGAACAACGCAGTAACACGTTGGGACAAGGCATGAACAACGTAGTAACACGTTGGGACAAGGCATGAACAACGTAGTAACACGTTGGGACAAGGCATGAACAACGCAGTAACACGTTGGGACAAGGCATGAACAACGTAGTAACACGTTGGGACAAGGCATGAACAACGTAGTAACACGTTGGGACAAGGCATGAACAACGCAGTAACACGTTGGGACAAGGCATGAACAACGTAGTAACACGTTGGGACAAGGCATGAACAACGTAGTAACACGTTGGGACAAGGCATGAACAACGTAGTAACACGTTGGGACAAGGCATGAACAACGTAGTAACACGTTGGGACAAGGCATGAACAACGTAGTAACACGTTGGGACAAGGCATGAACAACGTAGTAACACGTTGGGACAAGGCATGAACAACGTAGTAACACGTTGGGACAAGGCATGAACAACGTAGTAACACGTTGGGACAAGGCATGAACAACGTAGTAACACGTTGGGACAAGGCATGAACAACGTAGTAACACGTTGGGACAAGGCATGAACAACGTAGTAACACGTTGGGACAAGGCATGAACAACGTAGTAACACGTTGGGACAAGGCATGAACAACGTAGTAACACGTTGGGACAAGGCATGAACAACGTAGTAACACGTTGGGACAAGGCATGAACAACGTAGTAACACGTTGGGACAAGGCATGAACAACGTAGTAACACGTTGGGACAAGGCATGAACAACGTAGTAACACGTTGGGACAAGGCATGAACAACGTAGTAACACGTTGGGACAAGGCATGAACAACGTAGTAACACGTTGGGACAAGGCATGAACAACGTAGTAACACGTTGGGACAAGGCATGAACAACGTAGTAACACGTTGGGACAAGGCATGAACAACGTAGTAACACGTTGGGACAAGGCATGAACAACGTAGTAACACGTTGGGACAAGGCATGAACAACGTAGTAACACGTTGGGACAAGGCATGAACAACGCAGTAACACGTTGGGACAAGGCATGAACAACGTAGTAACACGTTGGGACAAGGCATGAACAACGCAGTAACACGTTGGGACAAGGCATGAACAACGCAGTAACACGTTGGGACAAGGCATGAACAACGTAGTAACACGTTGGGACAAGGCATGAACAACGCAGTAACACGTTGGGACAAGGCATGAACAACGTAGTAACACGTTGGGACAAGGCATGAACAACGCAGTAACACGTTGGGACAAGGCATGAACAACGTAGTAACACGTTGGGACAAGGCATGAACAACGTAGTAACACGTTGGGACAAGGCATGAACAACGCAGTAACACGTTGGGACAAGGCATGAACAACGCAGTAACACGTTGGGACAAGGCATGAACAACGTAGTAACACGTTGGGACAAGGCATGAACAACGCAGTAACACGTTGGGACAAGGCATGAACAACGTAGTAACACGTTGGGACAAGGCATGAACAACGTAGTAACACGTTGGGACAAGGCATGAACAACGCAATAACACGTTGGGACAAGGCATGAACAACGCAGTAACACGTTGGGACAAGGCATGAACAACGTAGTAACACGTTGGGACAAGGCATGAACAACGTAGTAACACGTTGGGACAAGGCATGAACAACGTAGTAACACGTTGGGACAAGGCATGAACAACGTAGTAACACGTTGGGACAAGGCATGAACAACGCAGTAACACGTTGGGACAAGGCATGAACAACGTAGTAACACGTTGGGACAAGGCATGAACAACGTAGTAACACGTTGGGACAAGGCATGAACAACGCAGTAACACGTTGGGACAAGGCATGAACAACGTAGTAACACGTTGGGACAAGGAATGAACAACGTAGTAACACGTTGGGACAAGGCATGAACAACGCAGTAACACGTTGGGACAAGGCATGAACAACGCAGTAACACGTTGGGACAAGGCATGAACAACGTAGTAACACGTTGGGACAAGGCATGAACAACGTAGTAACACGTTGGGACAAGGCATGAACAACGTAGTAACACGTTGGGACAAGGCATGAACAACGTAGTAACACGTTGGGACAAGGCATGAACAACGCAGTAACACGTTGGGACAAGGCATGAACAACGTAGTAACACGTTGGGACAAGGCATGAACAACGCAGTAACACGTTGGGACAAGGCATGAACAACGTAGTAACACGTTGGGACAAGGAATGAACAACGTAGTAACACGTTGGGACAAGGCATGAACAACGCAGTAACACGTTGGGACAAGGCATGAACAACGTAGTAACACGTTGGGACAAGGCATGAACAACGTAGTAACACGTTGGGACAAGGCATGAACAACGCAGTAACACGTTGGGACAAGGCATGAACAACGCAGTAACACGTTGGGACAAGGCATGAACAACGTAGTAACACGTTGGGACAAGGCATGAACAACGCAGTAACACGTTGGGACAAGGCATGAACAACGTAGTAACACGTTGGGACAAGGCATGAACAACGTAGTAACACGTTGGGACAAGGCATGAACAACGCAGTAACACGTTGGGACAAGGCATGAACAACGTAGTAACACGTTGGGACAAGGCATGAACAACGTAGTAACACGTTGGGACAAGGCATGAACAACGTAGTAACACGTTGGGACAAGGCATGAACAACGTAGTAACACGTTGGGACAAGGCATGAACAACGTAGTAACACGTTGGGACAAGGCATGAACAACGCAGTAACACGTTGGGACAAGGCATGAACAACGTAGTAACACGTTGGGACAAGGCATGAACAACGCAGTAACACGTTGGGACAAGGCATGAACAACGTAGTAACACGTTGGGACAAGGAATGAACAACGTAGTAACACGTTGGGACAAGGCATGAACAACGCAGTAACACGTTGGGACAAGGCATGAACAACGTAGTAACACGTTGGGACAAGGCATAAACAACGTAGTAACACGTTGGGACAAGGCATGAACAACGTAGTAACACGTTGGGACAAGGCATGAACAACGCAGTAACACGTTGGGACAAGGCATGAACAACGTAGTAACACGTTGGGACAAGGCATGAACAACGTAGTAACACGTTGGGACAAGGCATGAACAACGTAGTAACACGTTGGGACAAGGCATGAACAACGTAGTAACACGTTGGGACAAGGCATGAACAACGCAGTAACACGTTGGGACAAGGCATGAACAACGTAGTAACACGTTGGGACAAGGAATGAACAACGTAGTAACACGTTGGGAGGCGATCAAGTGCAACTTAACGTGCACTTGCAGCGCGAGTGAGAAAGGCGATGGATGAGAGAGTAGAAGCAGGGGGTTGGTGTGGGGGGGTTGAGGCAGGGAGGTGGGCACCACTGCTTCTCTCACCACATATGTATTCGAACTTTGCTGCGCATTGTTCACAAAAGTGACACACAAACACCACACTTGCCTGTTTGCACGCACCACAGCCTCTCTCACCACAGATGTAGTAGAAGGTCGCTAGGCTTTGCCCGCCCCATGCCTTCTGCGTGTGATGAGTCTATTTTTGAGTCGGCTACAAAATAAACACCGCATGCCTGTTTGCATGCACCACAACCTCTCTCACCACAGATGTAGTAGAAGGTTGCTGGGCTTTGCCCGCCCCATGCTTTCTGAAACCCGAGGTTGAACCAATAGTAATCCGCCATGTAGACAGTGTAGCCAAAGCAGATGATCAACTGGTGGTTTCAAAGGAATTAGAGGAGGGGAGAAGGGTAGAAACGGCTGAAGGAGGGGAGAAGGGTAGAAATGGCAAGAGATTGCGAGTGAGAGAATGAAGAGTGAAGAGAGAAAAACGGGACGGGAAGAAGAAAAAAAAAAAAATGTCTGGGGACAATTCAGCTTGGCACAGGACAGGCCAAGAGGTGGTGCAAGAGGTGCCCTTTGAGGCGCCTCAAGAGAGGTGCAGAGGCAAAACTCACCATCTGCACCAGCAGCGTTACGAGCACAATATCCCTCGCAACAAAGAATCTGAACTTGAGATGGCGGCATCTGAGGTCGGGCGGCAGGCACACGCGCAGTTGGAAGCGAGCCTTGCATGTGGAGCAATGGCAGAAGGCGAATCCCTCCTTGGTGGCCCGCCATTGGTCCAGGCATTGCCTGTGAACGAACCGCGCCGAGCCCTTGCACCTGCATGGGGCGATGAGGTCCCGACCTGCTCAGAGGGGGACGGGGACGCAATGGGCACGGGTACGCATTGTTTACTTCTTAAATGCCTTAACGCATGATTTCGAAGGAGAATTGAACCAGTTGCAGAGGGTGACGGAGTCCTGACCCGCTGGGAGGGGAGTGAGGAGCTGAAAGCAGTGTGGTCTATATCAGAAAATGTCATGCATGCCTCTGAAGCACATGCGTGCCTGAATCTCATGCATGCCTGAAACGCATGCTTGCGTAATGCCTAAAAAATATGTCAGAGGTCCACTGATGATCCCCGATTGATCCTAGGGAAGGGTTACATGCTCGTTGTCCTGGGGGGTTATGGGCGCACTGACCCGCTCTTTAACAAGCCTTTTTATCTCAATGGTCTAGTGGTTGGGATTTTGACATGGTATCAGAGCGGTTTCAGGTTCGAATCCCAGTGTGTGCACTTCGGGCATCCCAGTGCGGGGGCGTGTCAGAGGTCCACTGGTGATCCCCGATTGATCCTAGGGAAGGGTTACAGGCTCGTTGTCCTAGGGGGTTATGGGCGCACTGACCTGCTACTTAACAAGTCTTTTTATCCCAATGGTCTAGTGGTTGGGATTCTGACAAAATATACATGTCAGAAACACATACATGTCTAAAACGCATACATGCCTGAAACACATACATGCTAGTAACACATACATGCCTGACAAACGTACGTGGCAATTGTTATCATCTTACGTTTGAGTACTGGCAGATATCCCCTACTCGTAGGCCACCGTGTGCCATCACAGGCGGGTCTGAGAGTAAAGAGGCGAGGCGTGTGGCATGGATGAGTGGCTACGCACTGTCGCCCTCCAGGTGTTGGAAGTGTGGGGGACGGGATTGCCCCCCACGCGAAAGACCTCCCTTGACTCGGACCAAGGGAGGGTTCGTTCTTGGAAGGTTGAGGTGACAGTGGATTGTCCGCATCGCCACGCAACCGAACTTCCCCCGGTTGGGTCCGAACATTTGTGGGGGCGACACTTGGCAGCCCCACATGCATGCACGAAAATAGCGAGAGTGCAAGCGAATGTTACGAACATTTCGCTACTCGCTATTGTTCCTTGTAACGCACGATTGTCGTTGTGAAGAAACGAACCCGGCAAAGTCCAAAATTGTGAACGTGGACGTCGCGGAAATTGGACGCAATCCTGAGTCCGAATTTCTAGCGAGTCGCGCGCAGATCGATGTTACAATTGTGCTTGCATGGTTTAGCTATAAAATCCAGGGAGCAAAACAGAGAGTTAACTTCAATTCGTAGCTTGTACCCAGCCATGTATAAACAACTATTGTTCTCTCATCTCTTGGGCGATTTCAGTGATCTAAGTTGCTACGCATTGATCCTATTCTCAGCTCCTAACTCGTCAAGTAGAATCTGTGGCGTCGTTAGGAGTGAGACGGTTTCTTTCATGGTATGAGAGCTAGAGTAAGAGTGTTCGCTCAATCATTGCTACGCCATGGGTACCACCGAAACTTCGTCAACGACGAATGTGCCAACAACCCCTTCCTTTCCGACAGACTTTTCGACAACGCCGCATGTTGTCAATATGAGCGCGGTGCCAATTTTTAACGGGGAGCACTCCTCGTGGCGCTTTAAGCTCAAGGTCTACATGATGGAGCGCGACTTGTGGGGCTTCTTCGATGGGTCGGCATCGAAGCCCTCTTCGGCCGCTTCAACCAGGGAAAAGGAAGCGTGGGTGCAGAAGAACAAAAAGGCGTTTGCCTTTCTTGTCTCCAAGCTAAGTCTCCAACTCGTTCCTATCGTGAGCCCTTGCATCGACCGTGAAGGCGCGACTCGTGAAGCGTGGAAACGACTCGAAGGAGAGCACGTCTCCAAGTCACTTCATAGCAAGCTTCAAGCACGCCTTGACTTCTTTACGGTGCGGATGAAGGACGACGAGTCAATGCGCGCGTATGTCAACCGCGTGGAGGAGCTTGGCGAGCGCTTGGTGGAACTCGACACGAGCGTGGAAGACAACGATTGGATCATGATACTCTTCGCGGGGCCTCAGTGAAGCATGGTCAACGGTGATCACGATGTTGGATGGGACGCAAGATACATGGAAGAAGGAGCAAGTGGTGGCATGCCGCACGAAATTGCATGGCGATGCAATTGGTGCGGCACACTTCTCCCGCGATGCGAAGATGAAAGGGACAGGTCTCTTCAAGCGGCGCAACGACGGCAACAACCGCATGAGTTTGAACGGGAGCGCGGCGGCCTCAAGCTCATCACAAGGAGGATCGACCAACGCAAATCAAGCTCGGGCGCGAGAGGGTGCTTGTCGTTTTTGCAAGAAGACGGGACGTTGGTGGCGCGATTGTCCCGTTAAACCGGCAAATTGGAGGCCGTCTTCAAGTGACGACAACCGACGCGTGCATGTGGCAACATGCGACAACAACGACCGGGAGTTCGTCTTCGTTGCAAGTGGCACAACCGTCGGTGGTGTTGACGCGTGGGTACTCGACACGGGTGCTACTCAACACATGACGGCGTGCGCGACGCTTCTCAACAACGTGACAACGGAGGCTCCCGTCAAGCGTGTGATGTTCGGCAACTGTGACAAATTGGATGTCACGGGACAAGGCGACTTGCGGCTCATGGTGGACGGCGGTCCACTCACCGTAAAAAACGTCTTGGTGGTCCCGGGGCTTGGCGCAAACCTCCTTTCGGTTTCTCAATTCACACGCAAAGGAATGCGTGTGAACATTGAGGGAACTATCATGGCGTTGAGCACGACGGATGGTGTTCACATCGGCACGGCGCGCCAAACGGAAGGACTCTTCGTGCTTGACGCTAGCGTGGCATCGGCGCAAGCGGCTACCTCGGCAACCTCACTCTCAACGTGGCATAATCGGCTTGGCCACCTCCACCATGCGGCTATTCAAGCTATGGCAACGAAGGGGATTGTCAACGGCTTGGATGTGGTGCGCTCGGTGGGGACGATGGGAAGTGTGTCGGTTGTCTCGAAGGAAAGATGGCACGCAAGCCATTCCCACCGAGTACCACGCCGAACGCCTCCGAACCACTCAAGCTTGTCCACACGGACTTGTGCGGACCCATCACTCCCGCGTCGAAGGGTGGCGCGCGTTACGTTCTCACGCTCCTCGACGACGCGACGCGGATGGTTTGGATACGGCTTCTCAAGCACAAGGACGCCACGTCAACCGCCATCAAGCAATGGGTAGCGGATATGGAGACGGAAAGCGGCTTCAAGGTGAAGCGCTTTCGCTCGGATGGAGGTGGTGAATACACCGCGCATGAGCTCGGCGATTGGTTGAAAGGGCGTGGGACCGCGCAAGGGAGGGTTCGTTCTTGGAATGTTGGGGTGACGGCGGATTGTCCGCGTCTCCACGCAACCGAACTTCCCCCAGTTGGGTCCGAACATTTGTGGGGGCGACACTTGGCAGCCCCACATGCATGCACGAAAATAGCGAGAGTGCAAGCGAATGTTACGAACATTTCGCTACACTCGATATTGTTCCTTGTAACGCACGATTGTCGTCGTGAAGAAACGAACCCGGCAAAGTCCAAAATTGTGAACGTGGACGTCGCAGAAATTGGACGCAATCCTGAGTCCGAATTTCTAGCGAGTCGCGCGCGGTTCGATGTTACAATTGTGCTTGCATGGTTTAGCTATAAAATCCAGAGAGCAAAACAGAGAGTTAACTTCAATTCGTAGCTTGTACCCAGCCACATATAAACAACTATTGCTCTCTCGTCTCTTGTGCGATTTCAGTGATCTAAGTTGCTACGGAATCCTTGCTCCTATTCTCAGCTCCTAACTCGCCAAGCAGAATCTGTGGCGTCACTAGGAGCGAGACGTTTTTTTTTTTCACGAGGCAGATTTGGCACTGCGGTTGGTCCTCTCGTCATGCTGAATGTGTTTGTTTTTATAATTCTAAAAAACAACGTATTGCAGGGATGAGTGGTTACGCACCGTCGCTCTCCAGGCAGATTCTGCACTGCGGTTGGTCCTCGTCTTCTGGCTCCTCTTCATTCCTCATCCCCCCATTCCCTGACACGGCAACACTCCTCACGCTCACATCTAGACAGCTCAACTCGTCTCGTACGTTTCCACCTCTATTCATAAACATTTCCTGCATTCCTCCTAGCCTCGCTGCTCCTCTGGCTCCTCCGTTTCCGTCTCTTCCGTATCCTCCGTCGCTCCCGGTGCCGAGTCCCATCGCATCCCTGCTAATGAGTGGAGCGACTAGGGGAGTTTCCTCGTCGATCACAACCGCCAAATGCTCTCTCTCCGTCTCCATTTCCCCCGCCACCCCACTATCCTTCTCCCTCTCCCTCGTCCTCGGGTATCCTTCCGTGCTCTCTCTCATATCGACATCTTGAGATGATTTCTCTTCCACCTCCCTCGAGTCCTCACGCAACGTATCGGACGGTTCGGACAGAAGCCGGTGCCGAATGGACGACGGAGATCTATCGACGCTTCTATCCTCGGACTCCCGTGTTTCCCGCTGCCGCAGCAAGCTCACGATTTCCCGCGCCGCGGTCTGACGAAAGGGCGTGGTCATCACGACGCCACTAGATATTGTTAGAGGACCCTACTCGTAATCTCGAACGTCGACCGTGTGTTTACTATTTCGTCAGTCAACAGATGGGAGTCGGACGCAGTCGGGTTGGTTCGGGAATTGAGTCTCAGGAGTGAATGCAGTTGGTCAGAAGGTGGGACTGACTGAAACTAAGCGGGAACGTGGCTGCGTGAGGGGCAAGTCACGCAGCACTACTCCCAAAGCGAGTGGTGCTGACTCACAGTTCAATCGGCAGCTAATTTTTCGGTGAACCGTTTTAGATTCTTATTACAGCGTTCTTGACCGCGTGTTAACTCGGCACAAATGAAACATCTGACAATCCCTGAGCTGCCCACTTCGCGAACACCAACGATGTCAGCTCGGCACCAGACAAAAACATTCCAGCCGTGTGGCCTGACCCAAACGCTGCATACCAATCAGAAGCAAGAAGAATCCACGGCGAACCGCTTGGAAACCTGGAAATCAATGCTGATCTGCTAGGCAAGTGTGGCGAAAGCAGGATTGCCGAAAGCTGAGGTAAGAGACCTGTAACACAGCGCACACTTGGACAGCTGCACTAATGACTGTATCTGCTCAAATTAATTGGCAATCGTGCCCAAGTGTTGGAGCTCCAGAATCCATTACGAAATCAATACATGGGGCCATATAGTGATGGATTTTCAATCAGACAGTAGTTACCTTTCGTGTTGCAAAGTCAACATGCATGGTCCAATTGAAACGGAACTTTCAAGCACCTGCATCCAATGCAACTCCCCATCAAATACCGTAGGGACCCTTGTTGCAGCTCCAAACACCACAAGTCGTTTTCTTTGACAGTTCACAGTGTCAGCTCTGCCCATCGCAGTTCGCGAAGCCAAAATTGCGCGTCACAAGGCAAGACGCCACTACTGCCCCCAAGTGAGCACCCCACTGAAGCCCCCTTCCCCTCGAGCTAAACCCATGTCATCTGTGCGCATTCGACTGCCCCACTGAGATCCACAGCATGGCTCTATCCACCAACCACCATGCGCCACACCGCCATCCCCCCTCCCCCTTTCCTTACCCTTTCACTGGTTCATCACCTTCCATTCAGAACACCCCTGCCTGCCTCCTCTCCAACTTCCACCCACTCTGCCCAACCCATGTCATCTATGAGCGTTCTTCCTCTCCTCCTTGATCCACGGCATGGCCCTATCCACCGCCATGTGCCTTACAGCCACCTCCACCTCGCCCCAGTCCCTCACCCGCTCGATCAGCTCGTGGTGCGGCCCGCCGCCCGCCGTCTTGCTCCAGGGGTACTGCAGCAGCCAATCAAAGAGCAGCACCTGGATACCGTGCTCCGCACACTCCATGGCGTATCGCGGGTTGTCGTCGATCAGCACCTCGGCGCCCAGCTCGCTGGTGGAGGGAAGGGAGGGGCGGGCGGGTGGGGGGAACGAGGGATGGCACTGAGACATGCAACGGGAAAAGAGGTTTGCTCTGCGCACTCCATGGCGTACCGCGGGTTGTCGTCTATCAGCACCTCCGCACCCAGCTCGCTGGTGGTGGGAGAGGGAGAGTGAGGGATGGGTGGAGAAAAATAGAGGAAAGGCGTGGATAAGAAGGGGATGAAATGGGAGGGGAGAGCACACAGCACTCCATGGTGTACTGTGGGTTGTCATCTATCAGCACCTCTGCGCCCAGCTCCCTGGTGATGGCGCGTGGAAAGGGGGTTTGGTTTGTTCATTAGCAAGAGTGGACCGGCACATTCCCTCTCACTATAAGCACACGCACCATCCCATCCCCTTTCACTAAAAGCACACACCATCCCATCCTCTCTCACTAAAAGCACACGCACCGGCACATCTCAGACTTGGGGCGGGGCGTGCCCTCGAGGGCGAAGTGGTTGCCAAAGTGCACGGAGGAGAAGACCCCTGGGAAGTGGTTGTCCAACCACTCCAACGTGGGCTCTCGAATCACATGCTGCCGCGACCTGCACTCACACATGCAATGTGACAACAACGAGGGCAGTCCAGTGAGACAAGTGGGAAGAGAGCAGTGAGGGTACGTGGCAAGAGGACAAGCGAGCAAGCGGGGTGAGGGCAAGAGGGCAAGAGAGCAAGCGGGGTGAGGGCAAGAGGGCAAGAGAGCAAGCAGGGTTAGGGCAAGAGGGCAAGAGAGCAAGCGGGGTGAGGGCAAGAGGGCAAGAGAGCAAGCGGGGTGAGGGCAAGAGAGCAAGCGGGGTGAGGGCAAGAGGGCAAGAGAGCAAGCGGGGTGAGGGCAAGAGAGCAAGCGGGGTGAGGGCAAGAGGGCAAGAGAGCAAGCGGGATGAGGGCAAGAGGGCAAGAGAGCAAAGCGAGGCGAGTGTACAAGAGGCCGAGGGAGCTCACGTGACAACAACGAGGTCGGTGAAGTGGGAGAGGCGGCGCAGCGTGTCAAAGGCGCCGGGGATGATGGGGATGCCGTCGTTGAAATGTGCTGACTTGAAAAAGTCGTGCACTCGGTGGTTGGCTGCGAGGGGAGAGATAAGGGAAGGGAGAGGAAGGGGGAAGGGGAGGTGGAGGGGGTTTTGAGATGTCTTGAAGCCAAGAGCTTGGTGATGAGGATGCTGTCGCTCAAGTGTGGCTAAAAACAATGTTATTGAGGCGCCTACAATATAGACTTGGAAAACGTCGTGTGCTCGGTGGTTCGCTGAGAACGGTTCGCGGGTGAAGGAGGGAAGGGAGAGCTAAGAGCTTCTGAGGCGCCTCAACGGGTGTCGGGATCAATGGAATGAAGGAGCGACGGTTGGATGGTGACGGAGTGAGAGAGAGGGAGGGCGCAAGAAGGACGCTCACCTTCCTCCTGGGAGCACTTCCACACCTGCATCACACCGCACCACACCGCACCGCACCGCACCGCACCACACAGTCGCATTTCCAGTGCCATGGGGGTTTGGGCAGCAGGGAAGAGGCACGGGAAGCAGAGAGAGAGGGGAGAGGCGGGCGAGAGGGGGAAGACTGAGTATGTGTGTGTGTGTGTGTGTGTGTGTGTGTGTGTGTGTGTGTGTGTGTGTGTGTGTGTGTGTGTGTGTGTGTGTGTGTGTGTGTGTGTGTGTGTGTGTGTGTGTGTGTGAGGAAGTGGAAGAGTATGTGTGCTTGTGCGCGCGCTTGTGTGTGTGGGGGGAGGGGGAAGGGAGGAGGGGCTCGTTTGTTTGTTTGTGTGCGTGTGTGTGCGTGTGTGTGTGTGTGTGTGTACGCACGCGTTGTGTGTGTGCCTGAGTGTGTGCATGAGTGCGCGTGTGTGTGTGTTAACCCCAATCCCCTGTCCCGTTTCAACCTCTTCACTCTCCGTCCTTTCCCTCTCCCTCTCTACCTCTATCCCTACCTCTCCCTCACCCTCTCCCTCTCCCCTAACACCGCCTTTACCTCCTCCCCTCTCCCTCTCTCCCTGCCTCTGCCTTTCTCTCTACCGATCCCGCTTCCACCCTCCATCATCCCCCTCTCGTCACATTCCTCCCTCTCACTTAACCCTCTGCGACGGCGGTAAACGCGGCTCAAACTCTTGCGCTCGCATCCACGAAATCGCGAAACCGGTCGACTCGCTCCGGCGAAACGGGTTACCAACCTTCATGAAGTCGTAGACGTAGAACTCGTGCAGGTCGTGCCGGACGGAGTACTTCTCGGCGCAGAAGAGGTTCAGCGTCGACAGGAAGCTTCCCAGCACTGGGGAGCGAGACGAGGGAGAAAAGAAGGGTGATGTTGGTTTTGGGCGGGGGAGAGGGGAAGGATGGGGGTGGGAGAGGGGAGAAGGGAGAGGGGGAGGGGGGTGGGCGGGGGGGGAGAGGGTTGCATTAATGCGTGCAGTTATTGTCAGGATCGGGGGAAGGTCACCAGCGTAGCAACTACACCTTGACGCGTCGTCAGATTCTGCGAAATACGAGTCTTAGACTGTCCTATCTTGTTCACCCTACATCTCTCAGTACCGTAAGGAATCTCTCTGCACCCCCCTTATACCTTCAGGCGACTCACTACCGCAAAGCACCAACGCCAATCCCTCTGGACCACTGCACACCCTCGCAAACCCTCCAGTATCACTCTGCACCGCTCTGTACCTTCATCAACGTCGACCGCCACGCGGAGTCTCTGCTGCATGCCCTTCCCCTCGTAGCCAATCAGCTCCTCTCCGCTCCATCCGCTCGTCGCTGCACCGTTCGCTGAGGCCGTGCCGTTGCTGGTCCCGTTCGCTGGCACCACCGACGCGCCGTCAGGTTGCCGGAAGTTAGCCGACACCGCGTCCATTTCCTCCTTCTCTTCGTGAGCGGGCCTCACGCTGCTGACCGCTTGACACGTGGCAAGCGAGTCGTGAAGCGGAGGAGATCGCTTCGACGGCGGCTTGCTGGCCGGCATTCCCGTGTGATGCGAAGAGGCCGTCGCTGACGGCGGCACACGCGGCCCTCTACGTCTCGAGTTAGTGGAGGAAGGTTCCGAGGAGCAAAAAACCCTGGCTGCTGCTACTGCTGCAACGACGGCTCTTGTATCAGATCTACGGGGTTTGGCGGCATTCACAATGAGCGGTAGAGAATTAGATCTGCAAGATTCGGATCTACGAAGAGGCGACGATCCGCAGCGGGCAGCCACCGGATTATGGCGAGAGCTCCGCGGTTCCCGCACGTCGAGAATGAGGCTCGACGTCCCCGTGAGACTCGCTGCGCGAAGAGCCATCGCGCTTTGGTGGGGGCTCACACGCTGGTGAACACTTGAGCAGCGAGGTGTAGGGATATGAGGTTAAGAACGAATGTGGTATGTACACAGTGAACGTTGCAGCGTTACCATTCACCTGATCGTTGCAGCGGTGGCTACGCGGGTTCGTGAAATCCGTCGATGCGAGTGAGCTCCAATAAAGCTCAATGGTAGGAGCAAGGACGCGAAAGCAAGGCAGGAACACGAGACTTCGAATGTGGTGGCTCGAGTAATTGCTGCCAGAAGAGCTAGCTAACTTCCAAGTGGGTGGAAGGTGGGGTTTTCTGCTGGTGGCCTGGACTCTGGAGAAAGGCCATGTGAGGCACAAGGCCACTTTTTGGCGGGAAAACGACACGCCGCCATTCACCATTTCAGTGCTGGAGGATCCACCTCGATATTACCGGAATGTGGTGTCAGAGAATCATGCCACACATGAACCAAAAAGGAAGGAAAGGGCGTCATCGTGTCATGACAGTTCAGTTTCGATCAAACGTACTAAACCGTTGGTGATTCAAGAGAACCGCGGCTTGTATCTCAAACATCTCACCAAACCACATCAAAATGGGAGGTCGTCGTCGGATTGGCGGAGGGTGTTGACGGTGGAGCTGAATTTGCGTGGCTAAAACAAGAAACTGTTGCGCGTGGTGCACTTCCATTGGATGATTTCTCCACCGAGTCGTCTTTTTTAGCAACCCTCGAGTCCTGCCACAAATTGCTGCCAAGGTTTTAGGGTTTCAAGGGCAAAACTTCGTTACAGAATGAACTTTAAACTCGCTACACGAATGGAGGTTATTCTCAAGGGTTTCGTTCATATATTGCCTCTTGGATGAGAGCTGTCCCGTCCCGTGAATTCTTTCGCACATCGTCCAGACTGGTTCGGTGAGCTTCGACACGGTAATAAACGGCTCACATCTTGTACCACTTAAATCTCGCGTCTCACATTTGCTAGTGTTTAACACTTGGTTGGGAAAGTCAGATCCTGATTGGTTTACGAGTAACGATTTTTTTTACGAGCGGGGGAAATATATGGGCGAAGGTGCAAAGTGTTGAGGCCAAAACCACACCTCAAGGGCAGGTTTGGATCGCGTCCGCACCTTGTAGGACAGGTTTGGCTTGAGTGCACTGTACTTTGTGCGACCAACCCTGACGACGGAAACATTGATTGTGCAAGGGAGAAAAGTGGCAGGACCTCGCCTTCCCCCGCCTGCTCTCCGCCAACCTCGCCTGGACTGCCCTCTCCCACCTCCCCGCCCACCCCTCCCTCACCGCCCTCCACCTCTCCCACTGCCCCCTCCTTTCCATTGGCTTCCCTCTCCCCTCCTCCTCCCCCTCTCCCTCCGCCTCCTCTCCTCCCTCCTCTCTCACTCTTCCTCCTCCTCCTCCTCCTCCTCCTCCTCCTCCTCCTCCTCCTCCTCCTCCTCCTCCTCTTCCTCCTTCCCCCTGACCCATCTCGTTCTCTCTGACGCCCTTTTGTTACACCTCGCCCACTCCCTTCCCCACACGGTACGTTAGCTATGTTAGAATTTGAAATGATTGAATAGGATCGTAATACTTAGGATGGTAGCTTCCAGTCGTAGCGGAAGTCTTGTATGAATTAAAGCCAGTTAAGGAGGCTTTGTCTGGACTAGTGAAAGCCCATGTAGTGATATGTTTCAGGATCAATGTCTCTGAAATCAGATATATTATAAAATGACAAACATACAGAATATATAGCTAGAGTAAAGTACCTGTTCGTCTACTGTGCAGTGCTATTCTTGTTCTGAAATGGTACGTGACTTTTCGCGAGGCCTATAGCTACGTGCTGACGTCATCCTAGGGCGCGTAGCGCTTTGCTGACGTCAGCCTATCGGTACTTTACTGTTTCGTGCGAAGTCTCGCACTGTACTACACGAATCCTTGAAGTGCTTAAGTCTTCATATTATCTCAACACTCCCTTCACTTCTAGGAGTTCAGTGTAGTTACCCGGTTGCCTCAGAAACGCCGCTGAGCTGGTTGCAGTGGTGAAATTTCTATCGTGTCAGTTTCTTGGTAAGTGAGTCAGCTGCCATGTCACCAGTGGGACAGTAGACAAGGCGCATCCTCCCCTTGTCGACCGCATCTTTGACGAAGAAGTAACGCAGTGAAATGTGTTTCGTGCGGTTGACGAAGCCAGGTTTGTTGGCGATGGTAATCGCACTCTGGTTGTCGCACTGCAACGTAAACTGATTCGGCGTGACGAACTTTGCTTCGTCGAGCAGTTCCTGTAAGTATAGTCCTTCTCGAGTTGCAGCACACGCAGCAATGAATTCTGCTTCAGCCGAGGAAAGTGACACGAGTTCCTGTTTTGATGAGTTCCACGAGATCGGGCCAATTGGCTCGAGACGAAAAATGTAGCCTGTTCGTGACCGACGATCTGACGTGTCACCAGCGTGGTCTGCGTCAACATATCCGCTGAGGTACATTTTGTCGGTCGGTTTTCCTGTGTTGAAAATCAGCCCGACTGTTGGTGTTGCGACAGAGTAGTGTAGAGCGCGCTGAAGATCGAGATGGTGTTCTTCTTTTGGGCAGCGTAAAAACTGTGCGAGATAGCTTGCGACGTACGCAAGGTCGGGACGACACGTGACTGCTGCGAAGAGAAGGCACCCAAGTTGCTACTGGTACAGTTGTAGACCAGTTGCCGAAAGTTTGGTGTTGTTTAGGATGTGCCCGGTGGGTGTAGATCGATATGGTGTAGCGACGTAATCTGTAGAAATCTTGAAACGCTTAGCGAGTGACTCAGCATATTTCGATGCTGTGAGGTGAATGGTGGAGGAGGTTCGCGAAACGTTTAACCCAAGAAATTGGGTTACTTCGGTGGAGACGGTTAAGTCGAGGGATTTCTTCAGATCTGCTTCGATGCGATCACCCAAGGAAGCCGAAGAACTTACGTAGAGAATATCATCCACATATGCCACGAGTAGCGCGTAGCTCCCCTTGTCGTCTAGTCGATACATTCCGGGATCATGCGGTAGTTGTCGGAACCCAGCTTCTGTAAGTTTCTTGTTCAAATGCTGCTGCCACAGTCGCGGTGCTTGTTTGATACCGTACAGTGACTTCTTGAGCTTGCAGACACTTGGCGGATTTGTCGGATAGGTATGTGGAAATTCGACGTAGATTTCAGCATCGACGTCAGCGTATAGAAATGCGTTGGAAACGTCAATTTGTCGAAGCGGAAAATTCTTCGCAGCTGCTTCGCGGATGACGAGACGAACACTTGTGTGTCGGCTGACCGGGGCGAAAGTTAGCGTGTAGTCTACCCCATGAGTTTGGTCAAAACCGCGAACAACCCACCTTGCCTTATGTTTTTCATAAGAGCCATCAGCTTTCGTCTTCACCTTGAAGACCCATTTTCCGATAAGAATATTTTTATTTGCAGCTTTTTCGATGGGTATGAGATCCCAAGTCTCCCGTTTTTCCAGGGCAGCTAGTTCACGATCCATGGCTTCACGCCATTTTTCGCGATGTGGTCCTGAAAGGGCCTGTCGGGCAGTTTTTGGTTCTGCGACTTCTGTAGAATTGTGCTGTACTGCTGCTGCGGGTCCCAGTATCTGAAGCCCAGTTTGATAGTTAGGACTATCTTCGGTCCGACGTGCGAAATTGACAGGTTCACTCTGTTCACCACTTGCCCCCCCAATTTCGTCAGGATCGACGCGGATGCTGCTGTAAGTTACAGCTGGCATGGGACGTCGTTGATCGTCCACCAGGTAAGTAGGATGAACTTCACGAACATCGTCCGGATGAGCGTCGACGAGAGGAATGAATTCCGGAAATCCGGAAGAGGTGGTTGGTATAGGTGGATCAGGAGCAGCTTCACGTGCACCGTCAATGTCAGGTTCTTCGCTGGCAGCGAGTTCGGCGTCAGCGCTGGCGAATGAACGAACACCGTGGAAAAGTGTAGCAGGGTCACGCTGCGTGGCGAGATACTGTTCGAAGACAGGAAGGGTCAGATTTTCGTAGAAAATACAGTTGCGGGCAGGAATTAAAAGACGACAGCGATAATCCATGATACGCCAGGCAGAAAACTGCTTCTCAAGGGCGAGATGAAGACCCCACTTAGCGCGTTGATCGAACTTTCCGAGCGGAGCGGTGGGAGGACGATATTGTACGACACACCCAAATACTCGAAGATGTTTTGTAGTGCCCAATTTTCCTGTCCACAACAAGTGAGGTGATGCGTTGTTGGGTAGAGCCGATGAAGACAGGAGATTATGCAACAGGGTTGCGTGGTCCATTGCGAAGGGCCAGTAGAGTGGACCGAGTTGAGATTGAGCGAGTAGTGCTCACATCTTTTCTTGCAGAGTGCGATTGAGGCGTTCAGCTACACCGCTCTGTTGGTGAGCGTGAGGAAGTGAGAACAGGCGCCGGATGCCTCTTTCTTGCAGGTACGCTGTAAACTCGAGACTGCGATATTCCCCAGCTCCGTCACACTGGAAGGTTTTGAGTTTAATGTCGGACTCACGTTCTGCGAGAGACAGCCATGTCTGAAACGCTGTGAAGGCAAGAAAAAGGTTAGTCATGTTACCAGTCCAGACATATCGAGTAGAAGCTTCAGTGAACATGATGACGTATTTCTCGCCATTGAAACCCTCCGCAGGTAAGTTTAGAATATAATTGTAAACTTTTTCCATCAATCGATAATCCTCAGCGCC